TACTACAGTTTTGCTACCTGAGGTTATTTAATGATCAGGATCGGAATTTTAGCCACAACACACTTAAGAATCTTGGGACATCCTCCGCTCGTTTTATTTAGCTGGCATATTATGAAGTCTTCGAGCTTTTCCAGCACTGATCAAGCCTTTCGAAAAAATGAACCTGACGTTCTTTATTGCGTATGGCGTCCACCATCCACTTGTAGTAGCATGCAGCATCTCTGAGAACATTTCTTGAAAAGAAAACAAGAAGCAGCACACATGTATGGTCAGTGAAATGTCACAGAAATATAACTGGATCACACAGAAAGAAAATTACTGAATATCGAACAGTTTTCCGATTTATGTGGATGATCAGGCGCTGGTTGCATTGGACGGGAATGGTATGATCTCTTAGCTTGCCATCTCCACAAGCTCATATCTAAGTCACATTTCGAGGTTAATAGCTAACTTGGTCTACTCTTCCATCGTAATTTGGTTCTTTGGCTACTTTATCGATAGTACTGATCAAAAATAACCTTATTACAGAAATATGTTATAAAGAATAGATAGAAGAAACTATGTGCGATGTAGAGGTCAGTTCTTGGTGTTACCCTTGACGAGAATCAGTAAACTGTTCGATGTTAAGTAACCCCAGAAAAGATGGGGCTAGGGATCTAGCTTGATGCACGTTTAACCAGATGTAGTTAATGAATTACAAAGAGTGGTTCAGTTAATCCAACCAATCAATTTCATATCTAAATCCCGCATTTCATAGTTCAATAAAAATAAAACAAAGGAAACACTTTTTCATTCAGAAGAAACATAGCCTAAAACCCAGACCTATTCCAACAAACTAAATGTTTGCGATCCTGCTCGACTAGATCCTCAAACCTAATTGGATATTGAACCTAAAATATTTTTAATTTGCTAATGCTGCTATTAAACGTGGAGCGGCTTCAGGGTAACTCAATTGGCTACGTCCATCTGTTACCCGTCACGGAGGTATTTGGATGGTTTTAATATACGGAGTGACTAACACTATTGCTGATTAACCCTTACCCACACATCCGAAATAGTCATCAATATGAATAATTCTGAAATACCATATTTCCCGAGAGCAAGCTATGCTGAAAATGCAATACCAAATGTCAACTTGAACGATTTTTCGCATATAAGTTCACTCAAGGAACAAAATTTATCGTACAATAGTAAGGGCTTTTCGGGTGCCCCACAAGTAAGTATTGACCTACTGATTTATAGTGATCCGATTAACAGGCTGTCAAAAAATTACTTAGATCATCTTATTTTTTTTGACATCAGAGTATTTCATTGTTCGTACAGTTCATGTGCCTCATCTTAATTATTTGCCTAAGCACGGTGTTAATAAAAACTGAAAGTACAGATATCTAAACTACCGGGAGTACTTCAGTTCTGTACGGAATTCCCTTTTTTTAAAACGTAATCTTCCATGTGTGTACTAACGCCTCAAAAATTTGTCAATATAATATCTATACTACTTCCTTAGCTTTTAGGAGAAGCATCTGTCTTAAGACTCAATGTTTGGTTAGCAGAAATCTATTTTTACATAGTGATTTTAACCATAAGTACACAATCGGTCAGTGACGAAACTATCTGTATGATCTATTTGGCATGTACAGCACCGTCCAACCACCAAAGTTATTAGGGGCTAACAGCCTTATCGAAAGGTGTTTCCCACGTAACTCGACTAATTTCGAAATTTTCTAGCCAGCTGTTCAGTTGCACGTCAAGACGTTGCGACCATATACTTATGACCCAATATTATCCGTTCTTCATAACTGTAGATGTATTCTAAAGTGAGCCATTTTATTGTGTTTGATATTTAGCAGCCGGTCAAGCATCCTGGCAGTCGGTTCAGTTAATCAGGTTTATAAATGTCTACTAAACTTATTTTATCTATTATTGACCACGAATCCATTATTTATGTTGAGAGCTCTGACGAAAGCATAATGATGTGCGTGGTAACGATTGGGATCTAAAAGTGAGTAAATTATAAAGTCAAATATGATTATATGGCCCAAGTAGGATCACTCCCGAAATCATTCTGTTTAGAATGGATCTCATTTATCATCAGATCTCATAATCTGCTTTTTTTGTAAAAATGTTACCGGATTGGAAATGTTTTGAAACATATTGAACACATGTTACTTAACATGCATACATTTTCATGCATCATTTACTTTTGCATAATCATCGTTTTGCTCCCAAATCTTATGCTCTCAATTATCTGTCGTTTGTTTTGCTGGAAATCTTTCTAGAATATTCAACTTGTAAATACTACTATGCTTCTAAAATCCTAGAAAACGAAGCATTGTCTGCAAATGCAGCCTGGTGGCTAAATGACAAGTGTTTGACCATCAAAACAAGGCTTCACAGTTCCTCTTTACTAAGTCACTAAGTCTATACATCTGTTAACGTGGCTCAGTCCAATTGTTACTGACTCCATGGGCTAGTGCAATGTTTTAGTTTAACCACTTACAGCTGTCCTTGCCTACTCCCACACTAGATAGCATAACCCTTCGACGTAGTTGGCAGTTGCGGATACGTAACACATGTCCCAGCCTTGCTTACTAGGTGCTCTCTATGAATGAGTAGGCGGAGGGCTTTGAAGTTGAGCACCCGGACAGTATCCCACTCCACACAAACTCATTGGCTTATGTAGCGCATAGATATTTAGGTTCCCATTAAGTACCAATAATTATATGTACAAATAAAGTACATAAAAGCCGGTCGGACTTTCTGTATCCGTGCCGAGATTTCGTCAGACACCAAACCAGTGGGGCTGACGAGCTCCTAAGATTTGTGAAGTATTCGATAAACATCTACTTCACCCCCTTTCATTAATTCAGACGCCGACACAAGCCAATTCTAAAGCAACATTTTGCGTTTAAAAGAAGAAAATCACATCCCAAACATTGTTACTTAAGGCGGTCCTCACCTAAAGGAACCATGTCATCTTCATATTTTGCTATCAAGTGAATCTAGTATATGGACAATCCTTGAAGTGTTGTCTTTAAATTGTATATGAGGAAGTCAAATAAAAACAGGTAGATCGACCTTATTGGAGGTGAGACAGTTACTCCAAAGCAAAATTTTTATCCAAATTGTTCCATTTCGAACCTTGTCTGTGTGAGGACTTGAGTCTGATGGTGATCTAGCTATTTTATCCCACTTACAACCTATCCTGGTAAAGATGGCCAGTGCATCAGCAGCCTCTGCAGCAGTAGGTCTCAGCCTAAACAAGGGAAAATTAAGAGCCTCCGATACAACACAACATGACATAATCCTATTTGGTGAAGACGCTGACAAAATGCAGTCTTCTGACTACCCTAAGCAACAATGCAAGCATATTCGGTATGCGATTCTCCCCATCGAGATGAAAAGTGTTGCTTCAGGATTCGGCCGCATCGGCACCTGAACTAGTGACAAGGAGTGAAGTAGTCGAGCGTGTAGACCTCTTCACTTATCTGGGGAGTCTCATCAGTACTGATGGCCTGGTGACTGACGAAATCTCAGCTCGAATACAGAAGGCTCGATTGGCTTTTTCCAACTTCTGTCACTTATGACGTAGGTGAGATATCCGTCTGCTGACTAAAGGATGAGTGTACTGTGCAGTAGTTCGCTCCGTTCTCCTATACGGATCCGAAACATGGCCATTAAGTGTAGAGGACATTCGTAGGTTACTAGTCTTCGATCATAGGTGTATCCGGAGCATTGCTCGTGTATCCTGGGACGACCGAGTAAGCAATGCTATCGTTAGGAAACGAGTTCTAAGTAAGGATGGCAAATGAATAGATGAAGCATTAAAACTTCATCAGTTGAGGTGGTTGGAACATGTGTTACGTATGGCTAACCACCGACTGCCTTGACGAGCTATGTTTTGTGGTGTAGGAGTAGGTTGGAAGAAAGTTAGGGGCGGCCAGACGAAAACATAGCAGAAATGCATGATGTCACTGACAAGTGGACTTAGTCATGTTAGTAGATGTAGACTACCTGGTTGGGGTCCGCGAGACGAAAGTTACCATTGGTTAGAGACCTTGAACGACATGGCTCAGAATCGTTTGCAATGGCACAGGTGCATCCACTCTTGGTGTGCTTTTTAATTCTAACCTTCTGAATTCCTCATAATCTCTATCTTCCTCTTTACAAATTTATCTCACTGAATTATACTTTTGAATCATATCTTTGCTCCCTAATCTTCTCCATTGCTGCTAATAATTCTACTATCGCTATCACTCTTGGATTTGAACTGACAGTTACGTCTCTATGCTGACGTGGTATGGCAACCTGAAGTGATGTACTTATGTACGAAGTTCTGCATTGTATCTCTCTGTCTGCACCAACAAAACCACACTTGACGGAGAGGCCTTGAAAGATGTGGAAACCTGTACATACCTGGGCCGAATCACTGATAAACAAGGTGGATCTGATGTAAACATAGAGATACGGAGTGGCTAAATGAGGAATTTCTATAATTGGAGAATGTCTGTTACTCAAAACTACTGTCAACCAGCACGAAAGTCAGCATTTTCAATACGAACGTCAAAGTAGTTTTATTGTATGAAGCGGAAACTTGTAGAACTACGAAAGCCATCGTCCAAAAGTTACAGTTGTTTATTAACAGTTGTCTACGCAAGACACTGCGGATCCATTGGCTAGACACTTTGAGCAACGACCTGCTGTGGGAGAGAATAAACCAGATTCCAGCTGGGGATGGAATTAGGAAAAAACCGGAGTTGGATAGGACATACATTGCGGAAACCGCCTGACTGCATCACGAAGCAAGCTCTAGCCTGGAATCCTCAAGGCTGACGGAAAAGAAGAAGACCAAGGAACACGCTGTCGAGAATTGGAGATAAACATCAAAAGAACGAGCACCGATCGGTTAAAACTGAAAAGGAAGGTCGAAGGTCGGTGAATGCTGGTCGGCGGCCTATGCTCTATTATGGGTAAAAAGCGTAAGTGTAAATCATCAAGGGTGTATGATGTGCTTAATTAGATTCCTCATCTTAGTCAGTCAGTGACCCATTTGGTCTCGGGTGATTTTACGAGTATGAGGGCGGTTGTCACTTCCCGGTTGCCCACTATGTGGGACGGTACTTATTGAGGAACCTATAAAGGATTTCGGATTAGCGTTGGTCTTAGAGACCTGGGAGTGTGACCACAGAGCCCAAAGGACAACCGCTTGAGGCTTGTCACACATGGCTTTTTCATAGGAAGATTGCGTAGTATTAATTCTGCTCCTCAAATCGCTTTACCCCGAAGACGGAAATCCGTGAGGTAAGATGAGGTGTGACAGTTTTGGGGTGGAGTTTTTCTAACCCCTTTCTTCCTTGTGAAAAGGCAGCATCGCTGCAGATGCTGGTTGTCCGAAGGAAACACTACTGCTATCACGCCCCTTAACAGTCAGCAGTATGACTTCTCTCACCCTTCCTGCAATCGACCTGCCTAGTATGGTAGAACCCAAAGGGACGAGTCATCATAGCTCAATTGGGTTATCACTATAGGCAAGCACGACCACTACGTCAAGGTAGCTGCTACGGTCGGGAGATACCTGATTTGTCTTTCTATAACTACGGCTGGAATAATTTACCCGTTGAATTCTATAGTGTAAGCCACGCTGAGTCCAGAGCGTCTTCGCGTTTTAGGTATGGTATCGTTGTAAACATATCAATTGTAAAGGTTAATGAGTTAATTTTCTCTTATTTGACAACTACTTTTTTCTTGTGTGCTACAAACCAGTACATTATGACTTGTCGATTATTGAGGTCGACCAAAATTCAATTATATATATAACCTACCGTGTATACAGTCTTTTGCTGTCTCAAGGCATAGAAAAGATGTAGTGACTGTTAGCAGTTATCGGCTTTCTAAGCCATAGCAATTGGATCGGAGTTAGTGTAATTGTGTTTCCATTTGATGAACTTATATTTGGTTCTGTGTGCATTTGTAACTTGAAATGACTCTTTACTTGTCTATTTTAGGCTAATCAGGGATTAACAGCAACGATGAAAGATCCTTATCAATATCCAATCCATTCTAATACTGTTAATGTTATGGAAGGAAGTTGCCCAAATGAATCCTTTCAAAATCCATCATCGTTATCCGAGTCATTCAATACTTCTTCAGGAACTCAATACCAACAGTTGAATTTCTCGGTTCCACATCCTGTATCAACCTCGCCTGTCCATGGAATAAATGGTCTACCTTTTACTACCAACGATAGGAATTTAGCCTACATACCTACTAGTAGGCCTACATCAGAAGGTAACATGTTCTGCCATTTATAATATATAGTGTTTCAACCCCTTTATTCACTTTACTATGTTCTGTTGACGTTCATTGACACCAGATGGATGTTATTAATTGCTTCTCATACGATGCCATTTACAAGAGGATGGGAACAGACTTTAATTTACAGAATCATATACGCTGTAAATAATCCCACTGTATAGTGTAGAACAAACCCGTTACTCCAAAACAAACTAATTTTCAATAATAGGATAGCTAGATAATCAAACGTGGAAATTACTTAATGAGATAGTCGAGAAGATAAGTAGCTCCATTAGATGTATATGATGGACTTTAAGTTAAGCTTGTCTGTACTGAAATTTAAGTATGCTGAGCAGAATATATATGGCTATAAAGCCTCACATATTCGATCATATATGTTTACTTTCACTTCATTGACTTAGTTCCCAGCAGGTTGGTAATATAATCTGTTTTACTCTAGATCTGCTCCATAGTTCATGATGTAGTTTATTTTGTTTGTTGAATAGTCATCACGTCTTGAAATTGATGAATTGTTTCAAGGTTTGGATGATCAGTTAAATATGGGTTAAAGATCTGTTTTTTTATTTCTCCTGCTGACTCATTCGCTCGACTTACTCACTTTCGTCTAATAATAAATTGACATCTCATATTGTTTCTGTATTGTAGGTTTTGTTCACCAATCTCATTCGTATGATGTAAACTCACACTCGCAATCTTTTTCGACCACAAACACCGTTTCCAGTCTACCCATACAACCAAATAGTTTGTATGCACCAGTTCACACAAGTGCGTACTCAAATTTTAATGCATCTAGTCAATATAATCCACCGATTTATAATCCTCTACAGTCACCTAATCAAGAAAATAATCAGTTTAATGCTTCGCTAGGTGATTCTACTTCTGTGTATCAATACGCAGGTTATTCTCAGCTTTCGAGTTCCGAGGGTCATTTACCTGTAACGTTAAATTCAGGTGGCCATCCTACATCAGAGTATACCAACACACAAGCAGTTCCTCACTTTTATGATGAGCGACGACCTACTCCTATGTCGCCTCAAAATCCAACGACATTCGCGCATGGACAGAATGCACTACCTACCACAACGGCTTATAATGTGAATTCACCTGTTAAATCGCCTAACCTCTATCCACCACGTGTCATGAGTGAGGCTCGTCCAGTCTCAAATGCCGTTGGATCATATGGAATGACTCCACCATTACCTCCTGTTTCCATGATGAGCAATAATATAACATACCAAAGTAACCTGCAACCACCTCCTCCAAGACCTGGAAATATGCTACAGTCTACCGTACCTCGACATACAGCTTATGAACAATCTGGTGTTTTCCGAGCACCAGGAACTGCGGCATCTGTATCTGATTGGAATAGTTTGAAAACACCAATCAACCTTCTTCAAGAACGCTGTCTGTTACCATCAGATGGACCTGACCTGCCGCCCAAACCTGCACTGACTACTCCAGTGAGCTTTAATTTTTCAGGGTATTTTTTATAATAAGCTCATCAGCTTAGATTATTTCATCTTGACTTCAAATCGTATTATCGTAACTGGTTATCAGCATAAATTCTCAGGGATGGTAGTCGATGTATATAATGACTTAATTGTTAGTTAATAAGATATCTGATGTACGTTGATGAATGATTGGAAAAATAGTTGATTGATGATCATCGAATAATTATCAAGACTGAAATTTGATCACTGTATCATTGTGCAATTTTCGAGTTTTTAGTCCATCAAAATGGGAGGTAGTGCTTGCATTTTATTTGGAGTTATTGTAGATATGTTTGGATATCTTCCTCACTTCATTCAATCTGTCATATTGAAAAGTCTAATATTGTCTGGAATAATCTAAACAGTGTCTAAAACTTGTTGTTTCCTAAGCCTTGATTGTGAGTTAGTTGCAAAGCTTAATCATCATCAATGACTTCTTCATTAGTTAGCGGCAACGTAGAAATTCGTCCGTACGTACATCACTTCAAGTTGCCATAGCATATTAGCACAGAGATCAAATTGCCGGTTCAAATCCCATAGTAGTAAAAGTATTAGTGCTAATAAGAAAGATCAGGGTTAGAAGAAATCATTCAAGAAATATAACCCAGTGAAATAAATCTAAAAAAAATATAAAAAGAGGTCCTGAGCTCATGATGTCATGAGACTTCTTTGTAAAATCTCTTATGCTCATGATTGAAATATTCTCATTTTCTACTTCTTCTTGATGTCTTAATAAAAAATCTGGAAAGTAAATGGACTCATTGATAGTATATAACGTCTCAATTTCTAATTTTATGATCACGTAATTTGGATCACTGCAATCTATTTTTCATGAAAGCCCAACTTTGTGTAACTCTTTGTTACGATCGCGTGTTGTTTTGTTTACTTTGGTAGCAATATGGTTTTCGGGCAGTGGGTTCTAAAAATGTCATAAAATCTTCTCGTTGGATGTTGCTATCGTTTTTGGAAGAACGTACATATGAATTTCCCATTATACCCGGTCCAGTTCCTTTTAATGCTATTTTTTAAGCCACTTGATAAATTTAACTTATTTGGTTCGCCAAAAGTCACTATCATTTACAGGTTTTTGATTACTTTATTTGTGCTATTGCTCTGTTTTCACCTTTAAGATCAATTGTGATCAGGACGTGATGCGCTGTACCTTGACAAATGTTCCGTCGACTTCAAAACTTTTGACTCAATGTCGCCTACCTCTTGGTCTTGTTATGCATCCGTTTCGAGATATGAATAGTCTGCACACTATCACTTCAACAACCATCGTACGTTGCCGATCCTGTCGTACTTATATCAACCCATTTGTACAGTTTATGGATTCCGGTCGACATTGGAGGTGTAGTGTTTGCTTTCTAGCTAACACTGTCCCAGATGAATTTTACTATGACCCTGGAACACAGACGTATGGTGATCCTTCTAGAAGACCCGAAATTCGTTCTGCGACTGTAGAATTTATTGCACCTTCCGAATATACAGTTCGTCCTCCTCAACCAGCTACTTACCTTTTTTGTTTCGACGTTAGTCATAATGCAATTGCTACTGGTTATTTACAGCTTGCCTGCCAACGTTTAGAATCGTTGATTGATCGGATCCCAGGTGACTGCAGACGTCAAATAGCCTTCATAACATTTAACTCCAATGTTCACTATTACAAACTTTGTGGTAAGTTTTATCAACATTTTTTAAAAATAAAATGCTTCCTTCAGACCAAATAACCCTTCTATCTATATCTGTATCTGCTATTTATTTTGATGAATAGCATTCATTATGTTATGAGTTTCATCAGTCGAATGATTGATGAAATGATAAACTGATTACTGGTAAATTAGGAATAACTAGTGACGACTCTAGTGATGTAACTTTGATAGTGGTATAATTGGCTTGACGAAGTTAGAGAAGTTTTTAAGTTGTTCATTATAGGAAGTCGCTTCTGTATGATGAGGCTACCTAATGTTCAGTATGACGGTTAGGTGGAAGTTCTATTTGTTGGTCGATTAGTTTATTAACTTATACCAACCTGGATAGTTCAACAATGTGTTGCGTAGACTAAATCGGTCTACTCTTGGACATAATGTCAGTTTAAGGATAATTAGGCTGAGGAAATATTCTTACGTAGCCGAACCAACTGTGCTGATGGATCATTTTGTTTCTGCAATGATTCTTTCCTGCCTATTTAACAAAGTACTTCGTCCAAACTCTTGTACTATTCACCTTTTTCTTGTGTTGCTTACAGTTTATTTAATCTCAATTACAATAAGCAGCGATTTATCAGTAAACTAGATTCTATATAGTTACATATAAATAATTTTTAATATTAACTGATTGTCTAAAAATATATGATCAGTCGTTAATTGTAATCTGTAATCCATGAAGTCACTGACAAGTGGACTGAGTCATGTTGGTAGATGTAGGCTATCTAGTTGGGGTCCGCGAGACGAAAGTTACCATTGGTTAGAGACCTTGAACGACATGGCTCAGAATCGTTTGCAATGGCGCAGGTGCATCCACTCTTGGTGTGCTTTTTAATTCTAACCTTCTGAATTCCTCATAATCTCTATCTTCCTCTTTACAAATTTATCTCACTGAATTATACTTTTGAATCATATCTTCGCTCCCTAATCTTCTCCATTGCTGCTAATAATTCTACTATCGCTATCACTCTTGGATTTGAACTGACAGTTACGTCTCTATGCTGACGTGGTATGGCAACCTGAAGTGATGTACTTATGTACGAAGTTTTGCGTTGTATCTGTCTGTAATCGATTTAACTGCTTAACTTCTGTTCAATTTTTATTATTTCAGGTGAAACTATGAAAATGTTAATTTGCCCTGATTTGGAAGAAATATTTTTACCTGATGATGAGGGTTTGATTAATAGAATTGAAGATTCAGTTGATGCAGTGCGCGATTTTCTCTTGCATTTGCCCGAAAATTTTATCGGTACAAATGACACAGGGAATTGTCTCGGATCTGCTTTGCAGGTAATTCTCTAATTACTGTGAATTGTATTTTAGCGACTTACTATATTATTTATTGTACAATGAATAGTATCTAGATAGCTAAAGCATTTGGTTTTCAGCCAGCATATCGCAGATTTGAACCTCATACCACCCACTTTGATTTGCATTGTCAGATAATTTCACTGAGCCTCATGCAAACAATATAATTCAAAACAGTTCATTAAACCTATTTTTAGTAAACAATTTCCTTCTCATATTATCAAATCTTCGAGTGTTTCACTATTCTAGTTAACAGATACATTTTTAATATGGATTAAATGCAGAGCCATCAGTCAGTTTTGCAATCGACCTTTATAAGAATAGTGATCTCCAACGTTAAAGACTTAGTGGCCTATTTCATTTTTCAATGTTTTTTTTGCTAATCATCTTCAGGAAGCTTTTTCTCCTATCTGTTTTTATATCTTATAGACTTTATTTAAAGTGGACTATTCATTTTCTTGTATGATCTCCAGAAAGTACGAGGTCCAAGTCCACAAGAGGCTAAGGATCCAAGTTATAAAACGTTACAGATAATGCATAATATTTATACAGTTAGGTCGAATAGGAAACAACATTAAAGTATATGACATTGCTAGTTAGGACGACCAATAGGAACTGATCAGTAGAATATTTGATGAATATCCTAACACAAACATTTGTGGAATATCAAAACTATTACTTTATATAAAATAACTAAGCGCTTCTTATTTACCTGACTGCGGTATTTGTACTTCAAATTTAATGATAATCAAATAGAAATTTAAGTTACTAGATTCTGGCTTAGTTATATTAGAGACCAAGTGTTTGCTTTAAGATTGGCAGGCGCATTGCATTATAATTCGGAATAAGACTTTGATCATCTCCTGACACTGCAAACACTAACTAGAAAACATATTTTTACAACAAACCATTTTCATGAAGGTTGAAAATGTTAAATAGTTTTTAAATAACCAGCTTCCTTTGCAAGTTTTCTTATTTTTCTAAATTGAAGCATAGTTACGAACACCTTATTTAGCGTTAATTACACTTCAGGTGGTTGCTATCAAGCGGCGGGTTTGTTGATGGTTCATTTGTGTTTCACAGCACTGGATTTGAATTGTTATCGTTTTCTTATTGAATGGTAATATTTGAACAAAAGGACTTGTTATTGTTTATATTTATTTCTGCATACTGATCGTCATCCTCCAATCAGTTACTTTAAAATTATGTTACTTTAATCTTGATTGACTTTATTACCAAAAACAAATATTGAACTTATCAAACTTGACATAAAATGTTTTATTGAATCTTTTACTATGTGCTCAGGCTGCTCTGAAGCTTATTGGTGCTGTAGGTGGTCGGATTACTGTATTCACTACTTGCCTACCAACAGTTGGTGCAGGTGCCCTCACTATACGAGAAGAACCATCCGATCGTAGTTCAGTCGATGTGAAGCATCTGGGTCCATCAACTGACTTCTATAAAACATATGCTTTGGAGTGTTCACATAAACAGGTATCTTTATTTGTTTGATATTGATTAAAAATCAATGTTCTTAATGGTCGAAACTCATTTTCGGTTTATTGCACTTACCTTTTAATATATGTATCCACGTATTACGACTGAAACACTGTCTTCTACATCGACTTTGACAGTGAATATCGTTGACTCGTCACACAGTAAATTCAACTTACTACTTAATAGTTAGTAGTACATGAGCCCTTATTTAATAATTTTACGATAAGCAGATAAGTAATTGCATAATGAAATAACTAAAGCTATCTACATATTGTGTAGTGTATCATTGTAGCTATTCTATCACAATAATTATTGCTAAAAAAAAGAAATAATTAAAGAATTTTAATCTGTTAAATATTTATTTTATCCTGCTGACATTTGTTGTTAGTGCTTGTTTGTACAATATATTCTTTTATGTTACAAATTTTAGGTAGGAGTTGATATGTTTATTTTCAATTCTCAATACTGTGACATTGCCACAATATCTGCAGCTAGTCGTTATTCAAGTGGAACAATTCATCATTATCCAGAGTTTTGTTACACACCAGATGAAAATGAACAAATATCAAATAATCTTAATGTAGCATTAAATAATCATAATCAGCAAATAAAAAATTTATGTGTTGGAGTGGAACAATTTCGTCTAGATTTTGATCGGTATTTAACCAGGAAAATTGGCTTCGAAGCTGTCATGCGTATTCGATGTACTTATGGATTAGGTATTCAGGTTAGTATTACTATATAATGGTTTCAACTCGTTTTCTGCACATATTTGTATTGTCAGTGTAATTCTTACTTTGCTTTTCTATAGTTGTTTAGTATTTTATACAATGTTCTAAAAAAAAGCGTTCAAAGTTGTTTTGTAAACAGTAGATACACAGAATATTAGTGTTGAAAATTGGCCGAATTGTTGATTTCTTGAATTCCGTAAGGATTATTCTTATTGATTAAACTGACATTATTAAACGCTTCTTGTTTTATAGATTTCCATTTATTGTCAATTTCTTTTAGTAATTCTATTCTTCTCCATCACCTTTTTAATCGAATAATATAGCAGTTTAGAAGTGCACACCTTTTTTGTATCAGGTCTTACATTGTTGATTGTGTCAATCTTTGGCGGTACAATTCATATTGATCTTTTTTGAATGCGATTCTTATCTAGCGTGAAAATACTAATCGTTTAAGAGTGCACAATTTTCAAGTCCAAAGTAATTATTAACAAGTAGCTGTCGCTAAATATTTTGGCACATAAATATCATTTGATTATCGAATTGTTACATTTAAGTAGTTAACTGCTATTGTAGATTTTAAGTATATATATATATATATATATATATATATATAGGGAGGGAGTCATTATCAACTCAGTAGAGTTGGTTGGGTTAATGAGATGCCCACTTTCAAACTCCTACCATTAATGGTCTAGTTACACTTTGAAGGTATATACGCTTTAGTGATTTCATATATAAAAAGGCCTTAGCACCATCCTTGTCTCTGTTGAACTTTAGATCGAAACAATGAAGACATTATATCTTATTGAATTTTTATCATTTTCCAAACATTTAAAAATCAATCGCTTTCTACTACTTTTCTGTCTGCAAAGTGTATGAGAAAAATATATATTGTGTTGTTATGTTTGTTCGTTTCTTTATAAAATGCAAATCAATTTTTTCACCATATAATGTGTTCCTTTCACCGTAGACTTTTCATGGCTCATGTTTTGTGCGTTCTACGGATTTAATTATGTTGCCTAATGTGAGCCCTGATTCTGGTTATGCCGTTCAATTAGATTTGTCTGAAAGCTTAGAAAAGTGTGCTACAGTTTGTTGCCAGGTTAGTTAATCGTTCAGAACTAAGTTTGTATAAATTTTCAGTGTTTGCGCACCATTTTATACTCTACTAGCCTACACTTTTCTGGTATCCATTGGTTGATGTATTTTTAAACCGTGTGTCTAAGACCAACAACTTCAAGTTCTTGTAAGCATTAGTGTAATACTGAATGTGGCTGAAATACTGGACGTATATCATTCCTACGAATTATCTAGGCCCTCAAATGCACTAGTACGACTAACAGCGGGGAAGATCTGCGCTCACATAGCCACATGTATCTAGCCAATGCCAGGGAAAGCCTACTCACTGCCTTCCCGTGACAGTGTTTATGAGATTGATAGAATGCAAAGAGAATATCGATTGGGGCTTAAGCCGATTTGATCAGTACTTGGTATCCACATAGAAGAGTTAGATACCAGTTCCAAACCACTGGTAAACATGGGTTCTGTGATTCTGAAAGAACAAATGGCGTAAAATCGTATTGTAAGTCAACAGCTATGGGACTGTGTCGCTTGACGTTGCTCCGCTGCCTTGTGGATTAGACTTGTAGGTCAGAAGCTCAGGGAATGGTCCCCTAAGAAAACCATTTGCTTCGATTCGGATACCACACAAATTTTTGTACCAATACTTATGTACAATGCAAACATGATCGCGATGCTGTTTTCCTTCTCGAAATGCAAAATGTTGCTTCAAGATTGGCTTGCGTCGGCACCTAAACTAGTTATAGGGAGTGAAGCGGTTGAGCGTGTTGACCGCTTCACTTATTCAAATTCACATATTCAACTAAATAGGTAAACAAAGTACAGATTTCCCATTGATAAAGTTCTCACTCCCAACGCAAGATTATTCATTATGATCTCCAGTGAAGCAATTAGTAGGAAAACGGTTTCAGCGCATTTACCTTTCTTGGTGGAATTGTCTGTTATAAACAACGTAAGATCGATCACTGCTGTGAAGCTGCCAATGTTGTACTATGCGGTAAAATCAGTCAATTAGGTTGTTTTAATAGATATCACTGGTTTTTGAAGCGAGTTTTGGCGCCAGTGTAAACACTTGTAAATGTCGGAATACGAGTCCATACCGAACTAACAAATCTGGAATTTGATGAGAACGCGCCTTTCGTGCCGTATATTTGCCGCTTTATGGTTAACTAACTAACTTCAACTTCCCTACATCCATAGATCTCAATTATTTAAGGTTAATCATTTTGTTACTATTAATAACAGTAGTAATAATAATAATGATAAATTTGCAGTATAGTTCAGTAATTTGTACAGTTTCAGTTAGATCTAAACTTGAATTTTTGAGAGATCATCGCTCGAACATCCGATAATTGTAATGATCGAATTTCAACTATACCACATTGTAATTAGACAGTGGCATGGTAATTATCTTTGATTAGATTTCACCAAATTTGTGTGCTGTCGTGTAACCGTTTATTGAAATAACGTATTTTAACTAACGTATGTGCAACTGATAACAGTTTTATATAAAAGCTTAAACTGTAATCCTAGTTATCCAGTCGAAACTGAATGCGAAATTACACTTATTCAAATGTTCTCGAAACTTTTTTATCGTATGCTAGAATGATTTGTTGTAGTTAGATTGGTTTATAATATGAGTAAGTATGAAAATAAGCCCATAGATATTTATAATCACATACTATTGTTTGCTCTTTATAGGCTGCTGTATTATATACTTCATCAAAAGGTGACCGTCGCATTCGTGTACATACTTTATGCTTACCAGTGGTGCATACAGCAACTGAAGTGTTTCAGGGGGCAGATCAAGGTGCAATAGCTTGTCTCTTAAGCAAAATGGCTGTAGATCGAACAATATCTTCCGGTCTTTCAAATTCTAGAGAAGCTTTAGCCAACGCAGTAGCGGATGCTTTATCAGCCTACGCTACCACTTCTGGCATTACACCTAGTTGTAACTCGGCAGCATACGGTCTACCTTGTCCACCTAACCTACGGTTACTTCCTTTATATATTTGTGGTTTGCTTCGTTCTAAAGCTTTCAGAGTTGGAGTAGTAACCCGTTTAGATGACAGATCAGCTGCTCTAGAGCGAATTAAAATGGCTCCTCCTACTGATTTACTAACACTAATGTATCCAAAGTTATATGCTGTACATCGTTTCGTTTCGAAACCGTTATCTGCACATGCAACCCTAGCACAAAAAGCCGCTAGTCTTAGTTTGGCTGATCATGTTGACGACGAACGTCCTTCTGATTGTGATGGAACATCTTCTCCAAATGGAAGTGACAGTAATTCAGAGGCTGATCAGTTACCATGTCAATTACACTTATCAGCTCAAAATATAACACGATCTGGTGTATTTTTGTTGGATACTGGTGAACTTTTATTACTATTAGTAGGCTCTGGTGAAGATGTTTCTCCTGGATCAAACAACAATTCAGAAATTTTACGTCAACTTCTCGGTATTTCATCACCGCATGAACTTCCTGCACAGGGTGGTCCTTTCAAATTACCACCTATTAATTCATCTAATGAAAAACAAAATACAGTTACTAATGATGATATGTCTATTCCAATTGGTCGTCGTAGATTATCTGCTCTAATTAATCTAATTCGAAGACGTCGACCAATTAACAATGCTTTAGTTCTTATGCGTCATGATGCATCATCATATCTTAGATCTCTTTTCTTATCTTGCATGATTGAAGATAAGACTGAATCAGCTCCATCTTATCAAGAATTTCTTCAAATGATTCAGAATTTAGTCAGGACGTGATTTTTAAAGTATGTTATTTTACTTCCCTTCCTTTATAATGACAAGTGTTAATGATGTAAAGAAAAGGAACAAAATTTTGTTTCTGTGCCTTTATAGTTAAATAGTAATAATAATAATAATAATGATAAATTTTTTTTACCTCATGCTTGAATGTTGTATTTCTCCTTCTTCTTCTTCTTCTTTTTTTTTCTATTATTTCCTCTTTTTTTTAAAAAAAAATCATAACGTAATGTGAATTTTATAAATGAAATCAATGCCACTATGATCTATCACATTATCAGTTCAGTGATTTAAAAAAAAAGAAATTTATTCATTACTTTCAATAGATCTTGTCTTTTTTTTTCTCCTCTACTTATTATTTTATTTATAGGTCTCACAAATATGAACAATAATTCAAAGTTCAACTTGATTAGTTATGATAAAAGAAAGAAAAATTTTTTTTTTCAAGATTAATTTTTAATCGGTGAATTATCTAACTAACTAACTAACTAACTAATCTATCTATTATCTAATGTTGAATTTAATCATTCATTTCTCTTTACCAATAAACTATTATCAATATTTTAAGAAAATAATCATCTGGATACTGTGTTATCATTACACTTGAAGAAGTATCAAATAGAATGATTATGCCTCTTTAATATTTTTTGTTTCTTGAAGTAATTTTAACTTCCCACAATTGGGGTTTAACATTTTTGTTTTAATTGTTTCTCTTTGAACTTCATGAAGATCCATGTACTATGTTATGGTGTGATAATTTAAAACATGTGTTTTGTGAATAATTTCAGTCTATTCTATTAACTGCGATAGCGTGCATACATATGTCCGTAAGATTATCTAGTATGATTAATAACAATTCCCTATATACATATGGTTACTCATATTGTATGATCGTTTCTAGTTCGTATTATGTTGAGTGATGAAACTCAATAAATTTGATAGTTCTACATTGCTTTAAAAAGTAGACTACAATCATTAATTCAATTATATGGTGGAATTCACAAATGTGTACACTATGACTGAGTAACACTTACTTCTATTATTGTACGTGAATTCATCGAATGTCATTCTGTTGTTTGCTAGCGGCATATTTCAGGTTATAAGCGATGTAGCAGTGCTGGTTGACAGTTATGTATCGTTAGAACCTAGACTGTATGTATATTCACTTCATATAACTTCTAAGAACAAGTATTATGGTCAAATTAAAATTCCATTTTAGGTTATTAATCATTATGATTTCAATTTTCTTAATAAGCATCGATTAACAAGGAATCCGTAATCACACAATTTCAAGCTTGATGTTTTCGCTCATAGACAGCATCTGAATCCAGACACACTCGGCACTTACTGTCATATTTCAATGTAATATTGAGCATCAAAAAGATCTGATAATAGTCGCGGCGGTTAAAAAAGCCACTAGGAGCTATAGAATCAGTGAATCTTAGGTAAATAGGTTTTGATTCATATTAACAAGTTTTCAACCATTGAATTGTTATCGCTCGGATAGTAAATGGGAAGAGTTTTACCAAAGGTTGATCGTTGTCGTCTACTGTCATGTTTTGTTCTGGATAGTCGAATCTATTTCCATGTCAGAAAATAGCGTGCCGAGCGATGTACGCTAGCATACACCAGCCATTCAACTTGACTATACTTCGTAACTGTATGAATGAACCCATCAGATAAAGTACTGAAACTTTATCAGTTGAGGTGATCGCGACATGTGTTTCAAATATCCAATCACCTACTAACTCAACGAGCTATGTTTTATGGTGTAGGAGTAGGTTGGAATAATATAGAAGCGGCCAAAGCAAAACATGCCACATATCCTTGAAGTCCCTGACAAGTAGATTGAGCGATGTCGGTAGATGTAGACTGCCAGGTTGGAGCCTGCGAGATGATAGTAATCTATAGTTAAAGAACTTGAATCACATGACCCAAAATCGTTTGCAATGACGCAGATACATCCATTATTTTGCTTCTCCCTAATCCTGTGGATTCTTAATCACCTTTATCTTTCTCTTGTTAAGTTTATTTCACTGAATTCTTCCTAAACCCTAATCTTCTCCATTACTACTGATAATTCTACTACGTCTGCCATTATGGGATTGGAACTGACAGTTGCGTCTCTGTGCTAATGTGGTATGGCAACTTGAACTGTTGTACGTACGTACGAATGAAGTCCCGCGTTGCTGCTGATTGAATGATCACACTTACCCAGTACTTTAAACCAAAGTCCGTGTCGATTAGTGTCGGTATTGAAAATCATCAAATCAGTCATCGTATCCAGGCCTGCATTGAAACACGTTCACTTATTTTAAAATTGAACAGAATACGGTAATTGTTTAAAATTAGAATTAAAAGGAAATACTGAATTTCCAACCTTTGAAAAAACGATTAGACTGGCTAGTGTCATTCATTAAAATTATTGATATATTATTTAATGTGAGTATAACAGCTATAAGGAAAATATTTCACTTAAATAGTCACCTGGTTAGATGTACTAATTCAAGTTCAAGGTCGAGTTGAGGAAATTTGGTTTACAATTTTCTGTTAAATGAAATTTTTCTCCACTTATATGCATACTGGTAAACTTGTCCAGTTAATACTATTTTATTGTAGCATATAGTTTTGATAAAATGACCTCCTATGATGGTGTTCTTGTTAAGCTTCAAACTAGGCTTCTTTATAGTTAAGTATTATTGAGCACTACTGGATAGTGATGTAGGCATGCTAATGACTAGTTATTTTAGTAATTTAATGTCTCATTCTCTCGAACGAAAATAAGCTGTCAAGTAATATTCACCTCGATTTCGGTGAAAGTTATTAACAATGATAATTTTCATCGACATTTGTAGAGAGATTAGGGTTCGAAGATATTACTCAAGAAGTATGATCTAGTGATATAAACTAAAAAACAAAGACAAAGGTGATAAAGAATCCACAGGATTAGTTTTTGAGAGAAGCCAAATAATGGACGCACCTGCGTCATTGCAAACGGTTTTGAGTCATGTCATCCCAGGTCTCTAACTGTTATGTCTGACAATTGATATGCTTGGAACTATTACGAGTTCACCTTAGTCGGCAAACGAGAGCGAATAAAGACACGATAGGCTAATCTAATCCGAGTGTCCCAAACTCCCACTGATGGTATCAAAACGTCTTGATATGGCGTAGAAAGTGTATTCTACAAGCACTTAGAAAATATGAGGTTTTGTACAAAAGAAGAGAACGAAACTTTACAGTCAATGCATATTTATACAGTTAGATCGATCGTGAATGCTAACCAATAGGAAATAACATTTAAACATATGTGAACTTGATAGTTTAGGACGACCTCAAATATTGACCAGTAGGGAGTGGCCAATAGAATTACACACAAAATAATTTCCTTAGGATATTTGATGAATATCCTAACACTAAATATCGATCACTATCATCTCACGGACCGCAAACTGGCAGTCTACACTGGCCATCATGATTCAGTCCAGTTGTCAGTAACTTCATGTATTATTGGCATGTTTTGGTTTGGCCACTTCTACCTTTCTTTCAACCTACTGCTACACTACAAAACATCACTCGTCGAGGCAGACGGTGGTTAGGCATACGTAACACATGTCCCAAGCACCCCAAATGATGATTATTCACTACTTCATCAGTCGAGTTTTTCATCCCAACCTAGTACCCGTTTCCTAACATCAGCATTGCCTACTCGATAGTCCCAGGATACACGAGTAATTCTTCGAAGACACCTATGATCGACTACTAATAGCCCACGAATATTCGCTACTCTTACCAGCCGTGTTTCACAGCCATAGACTAGGACCTAGTGAACTGCTGCACAGTGCACATGTCCTTTGGTTGGCAGAGGGTTATCTTGCCTACGCCATAAGTGACGAAGGTTGGCGAAAGTCGATGGAGTCCTCTGTAACCGTACTGTCGCCAGGCTTTCAGCGTTGATAAGACCCCCGAGATAAGTTAAGTTATGTCCGAGTACAGAGCTTGTATAAGGTTAAAGTACTTCTTTGGTACTCGTAGGTTATTTGTATTCAATCCTTAGTGTCTCTGAGTCACCGCTCGTTCATCCTGTTACCACCGAGTAAGCAATGGTGTGATGAGCAAGAGAGTACTTTGTGAGGATGGCAAATCTGTTGGTGAAGTAGTAAATCATCATCAGTTGAGGTGGTTAGGACGTATGTTACGTATACCCAACCACCAACTTAGTCGGCGGATTATGCTGTCTAGTATGGGAGTAGGCTAGAACATAGCTACAAGTGGTTAAATCAAAGCATTGCAATCGTCTAGGAAGTCATTAACTATTGGACTGAGACGTGGGAATAGCTATATATACTAACAGTTTGTAGTTGTTATCGTATCGAGTGGTTAGAGACACCAAATGATACGGCTCAAAATCGAGTACAATTGTGCTTGCGAATCAAATCTTTGTCTTCTCTCAAATTATAATCTTCTGAATTCCTCATGAACCTTAATCGCTCCTTAAATTTATTTCACTGGATTGTACTTCTTCATTCGTTACTCTTTGCAATTAACAATAATGCTGCTATTTCCATTTGCATCTGTTATGTTCTATAGATGAGGCTGGTTATAGACTCTCCTTCCCTTCTTCTGCTTTTCACGAACTATGATTACGTTGTGCACTTCTCACATCTAACATTCTTCTGTCTGGTAGCAACTTCTAGAAGACCCAACTTAATGGGTGGGGCCTCCTATACTAGGATATTTGTGCATTGGTCTAAGCTGCAACACCACACTAGCTAATTGAGATGAAATTATAAAGATGAATGCTAAAATAGTAAAATAAACTAATTGTTTTATGGAAAAAAAGTTATCAAATAATTTCAAAGTCCAAAGTTTAGAGAAATATATAGAATTATTGTTTAAGAACTAATATAATGAATCACAAGTCATGCCACCCAGGTTTCTAAAAAAACATTTGTGATCCACACCTTTCAGTCTATAAATTTCTTCTGCTCTCATAGAAAACCTTTCGCAACCACAAAACGGATTGCTGCTGCGACACCACAAGCGACAAAGCTGATAATAGCCAAGTTAGCCTTACGAATCTGTACCCAGATTTCGTCAGACACCAATCCACTAATGCAGAGAGAACTTCTTATATGATAAAAGTAGTTAGCAAAGTACCATTACGTCACTCCTGATGATAAACCTAGGTGGTGATGCAGATCAGTCACAGAGTGAAATTTTACTTTTGTAAGTGATATTTGTCACAGTGACTTCTGTTAATGTGGCATTACAACCAAGTTACTTCAAACATTAACTCAGTGACACGTGATCATACAAAAATGTGTCTCATATTTAAAATATTTTCTTTTGAATGACAGGTTTGTGTGAACGAAATTATTGATTTGTTTCTCTGTACTATTTAAAATTACTGTAATTTAGTCTGGTTAATTATTATTCGTAAAAGTGACCTGCACGTTAGAAATTCAGTTTCCTACTCATCGAGATATTACATATCTGTCATTTTATTTTATCACTAAAAGCAGTTTCATCAATGCTCAATCTGCTTGTTTTCATTTGATTCAGCAGTGATGATGATGATGATGCGAATATCCAATTCAGAATGATCAAGTTCCATTATTATTTGCATTAAAAATAACAGCCGTTCAAATATGAATCTCATTTTCCTTAATTTTCGTGAACGCAAATGCTTTTAATCATTAAATTCTGCGAATTAAGGTATGAAAAAAGTCATACAGCTATTTAATTCAACTAATGATTTCCATCGATGACTAACAGTTGGAGACAATAAAATTTTAGCATCAGTCAATATTTTATCCATCTTAATTTAAGACTCCTCAACGGTTTGCTTCCATGACTAC